AAAACTTATTACAATTACATAGGGACATACAGGGTGGAGCCACAATAGAGCAAATACATGCAGTGCATTCCTGAGGTAGTTCTAGTTGTTAATAACTGCTGCTGAATATATTGTTCTACTGCAACCCTAAAATTTAATGTACTTGTTAAGGATTTTATTTGAAAAAAAAAAAACTATCATGTGAGGTTTTTAGATTGTTTCAAGACTTAAAAATAGGGAAGCTGGTCAGAGTTGATAAGTAAATGGAACTAAATACAAGACAATCCCGAAAGAAAAAAATGTAGGAGGCTAAAAACAAAGAAGATTGCTGGTGACGTCCAAAATCCAGAAGGAAAGCGACCCCAAACCTTCTGCCAAAGAACAGTGGATTGGTTTAGATCAAAACTTAGTCCTGATTAAAAGTCAAGACCTAAATCTGTTACTAGATTTTAAATTCAATGCTCATTGGTATAAATCATTGAATCTAACTGAGATTCAATCATTTATAAAGAAAGAATAGGGAAAATGTCAGTGTCCAAAACAACAGAGGGTGCCACTGAAGCTCCTTTAACAATTTGTGCAGAGAACTTTTTTTTATTACTTTTCCTTCTTCATGGAATTCCTATATTAAGATCCCAATATAATACATTCAAAGCGGGGAATCACCTGTGAAGATGATGATTGTTGCCTTTCCCATTGATGGATGAGGTCAGGTTTTACTCTGTTCTTTGGGGCCATTCTCACCTTGCCAGTTTTTTTTTTTTTTTTTTTTTTTTTTTACTTTTGCAAGACAAACAAGCTGACAACAGCAGCAACACATGTGAGTAATGTGCCAGCAGCCAAGTCAAACATTAAACCCTAAACCAAGCATGAATGAATGAGCTGGCAATAGCTGCTAGAGGGTCTTGCTATGAGACTATACACACATGTATCATCTGTAGAGTGGCCGCCTGCACAAAACAATGGATTAACTGGGCAGTCTCAACAACAGGTTTCCATCAGGAGAAATATTTCACTCTCAGCTGAACATGCACTTATTTTTAAACCTGATGTAATTAAACACTGAGAGGTGATGCACAACTCTTAGTTAGCAGAAAGTTTTATTCAGAACTACAGGTGGTAGAGTCCTTTTTCTCTGTTTGTTTGGTGTGTCTGTGTGGTTTCCATGAAGTGCTGCACAGCCTCTCTCCAGGCACACAATAGTAGAAGTTATCAGCTGTAGCTCATTAATTAACGTAATTAGCCCTGCTGTAGCCCACACACCCTCTCCGACAGTTTACCCACCCAGATAAGTTTGTGAGTTTCCTTATCGGACACATTAATCACTTTGGATCCACTGTTTGCAGTTGCATTCATGCCTGTTATCTGTGTTAGAGGCAGTGGAGGGTGCGGTATGGCAGAAGGAAACATGTTACACCTCTACATGTAGAGGATTGGAGTTAAATGGAAATAGCTAAGTGCTTTTAATCTTTATTTTATGACTTGCCGTCATTAGAAATGACTGAGATGTGTTGTTGAACTGACCCGGGGAAGTTATCCAGCAGGACTTCATTGTCTGAGGGAGGTGAGGAGGGAAACTTGATTTTCTCTCTATCTATTTAACACCAAAATGACCCCAGTCTTGTTAGTCAATAAAGCTCCAAGAAGCAACCCTGATTGGTGGATTGTTCTCAGGCTGTCACCTCAGGAAGCGGCAGCATTCAGGCCACCCTGAAGTGGAGCTGCTCTCAAAGCTCTTTGAAGACTTTGCTCTTTTCCACCCTCTCTTCTGTCTGATCCATCTTTATCCCCTCTCCTCTGCCTCCCGCTCTCTATCGGTTTCACTCATCCTATTCTTCATGCTCCCTTTTATCCTGGGATCACTTCTTTAGCCCCTTTGATTTGCATGTCAAAACCTCCATACATTTCCCCCGGTGTTTGAATGTTATTAATGCTAATTGGAGGCGGAGAACTTTAAAAAGTTCTCGGCAGGTCTGTTTGTACACCTGGTCGGGTTTGGGTCTGTGTGTGCGTTTGGGTCTGTGTGTGTGTGTGTGTGTGTCCGTGAGCCAGAGAAAGCGTATGCCCCAGCTTTAACCCCTTTTACATCCAATCACATACAAATGCATCTAAGTAAACTGGATTGTGATCAGAAAGGGATTTTATTTCAGTCAATCAATTTTTAAAAATGAGCACGACTTTAAATCTTTTCTTATTATTATTATCATTATGGCATCCAGCTACTGAGCAATGCAAATACTCAGATTGTCAGATGGAAAGTCTTGCTAAAAAGCAATAAAGAAATTGTTTTATTTGCAGATAATGTCATCATAATCTTTGGAACATTTTCCAGAGATAGGCACGGACATCCTTCCAAAGGACAGCAAGGCACTCAGTGTAATAGCTTTATTGGGTTAGTTTTCACTAAGCACTAAATTTAAGAATATTTGTGGAAAATTAAGTGAATGAAAGAAGTCTGGTTGATAAATGGGTTCAAGCAAAACAGTTAAACAAAGCAAAGAGAGAAATATGGAATTAGACAGACTTAAACTCCATAAGACTGTTTGTCATTACAGAGATGAAGAGACATTCCAACCGACAATACAGAAAAGCAGTAGGCCGCTATTAAAGCCTGGACATCTATTACATTTCAATAGTACCTTAGGTTGAACATCTCCATGCTATAGTACATTCATGCAGTAATTCATGAATGTAGCACCCCACACCCAACCCAAGCACATAGACATACGTTTTTAGCAGGTGGAAATTACCCTGATAAATACAGATTTATTTGGCTTTTATATAATAGACTAGGGAGTGGCTACCTAGTGGTTAGTGCATAGAGCTTGGAATCCTGAGGTTCTGAGTTCAAGCCCCATTCCCACAGACTGCGACTCTGGGTCCCTGAGCAAGACCCTCATCCCCCCACTGCTCCCTGAGTGCCCCATGATGGCAGCCCTCTGCTCCTCTAGTGGATGGGTTAAACGAAGAGGTAAATTTCTCCAATTCCAGATCAAGAAAGTTCAATTATTTTTATTTTATTTTCTATTTTTCTCGTAGAAATTGTATTTTTTTATTTAAATAAGCTGTAAGATCATTAACTAAATGAACATAAAGAAACTCTTAAAGAAACTATCAAACTGTCTGTAATTACTCCAAATAAAAGTCTAACTTCATAAGTGAGAAGAATAGGTTTGAGATTTTAGTGAGATTCCAATTCAATGAGTTATGAAAAATAAATATATTAACATTTAGATTAGATTAGATTCAACTTTAATGTCATTACACAGGTAAAGGTACAAGGCAACAAAATGCAGTTTAGGTCTAACCAGAACGCAATAGCAGGAAGTGCAGGATAAATAATGGTTCCATAAATACAGGATATGGGTTTCTACTGAATAAATATAGAGATGAATACCAGTATAAACAGAATCTTACTAATAGATTTGTCCTATGAATATAATATATAGATAACTAGTGTTATTAACGAAATTTACAGCTGGATATGTACTGAATATAATATACAGGTGGATATTACTATAAATAGGGTTTTTACAGTTATGTACAATAGCATAACATACAGGTGGATTTTACTATAAAATGAATAAATAAAGTTTGGACAGAAGCTATCTAAATTAAAGTGCAGTGGAAGGTAATTGCATATTACAGTTAAACTACATTATTGCAAAGCTATATATAAACAATTGGTACTGTGAATAAACAGTCGGCATTTAGACATTTACGGCAATATTCATAAATATTAGCTTATTTTCTGTGATTGCTCTACAAGAACGATTGCTCTTCAGATAAAACTCATACAAGGAAGGTAGGATTGTAAAAATATAAACATTTATGTGCTCACACAGTGTAAGAATTTATAAGTATCCAGTTTGACCTTGAAGGGAGAGATTTATCAGCAGATGTGAAGTAAAGGGGTGAACCAAGTCCCACTTTTCTCTTATTTGACAAAAACAGTATTTATAAATGTTCCACCCTCTCCAGCACCGAGTTATGCTAAAGGTGAAGGATGAGTGCCGTCCTGTTAGCAGGAGAATAAGAGGCTTTAAAACTCTTAGATTTATAAAAAAAATAAAAATACACATATTAGAGGAAATGAAAAACAGCTTCAGGTCTTAATTGATAACAGTTCACATCCAAGCACTAGGATCAGCCTGTCCGCTGTAGCTCCTACAGCTTGACCTGAAGCTGCAGATATTGACAGAGCTTCAGTACATTGTCCGTTTATGCTATCAAAGCTTGGCAGGAGTCATGCATAACCCCCCCAGTGTGCGCCTGTGTTTATTTTACCATTAGGGTATCATTGTCCTCTGAGAAGAGGTGCTCGCTGTTATGCTACAGTTAGCACGCTTGGCACTGAGGGAGCAAATTGGATTGGTATTACAGTATGTAAGCCTGCTGTTACATCCTGATGAGCGCAGACAAACAAATTGGATTGGTGGCGTGTAAATCCGAAGCAGTTTGATGAGCCGGAGGGGCAAATTGAATTCTCAACAATGTAAATCTGCATCAGCTCGATGGCTCCCCGCCCGACTCCGCCACTTAAATCACGCGCTTGTTCCCGGCTGTTCCAAGACACAATTGCTCATGGCCGTTTGCTGAAGCACCTAATCTGTTTTTGATGACCGTGCTGGGGTGTAGCTGTACATATGGGCGGCTGAATCTCCCTCTGGCCCGCTCTGCCCAAATCACACTTGTTCTAGGTTTTTTTTTTCCACAACCCGCACATTTGGCAGAGAAAGATTGCTTTGATAGAGCCATCTTTGTATGTTGATTTAAGTGATTACTCAGATGATTGGTCATATTAATGGACCTCCTGTTTTCTTGTGATCTCTATCTCTGGGATGACAGATGATGTTTATTTCTCTTTTCAAACTCTGATTAATAGACATTCTGTTTATCGGCATCTTCAGTAGCTGTTTTAGGAAATAAATACCGGGGGATAAAGGGAACGCTTCTGAAATATAGCTTCTCCTTCATGTTTGTTGCTCTGATTTATTCCTATTTTTTTCTTTCTTCTCCAGTTATCCGTACAGTGAGGACCGGCATCATGGGAAGCAGTACATGAACACCAGATGCCCCGCCTGGTGTGACCGAATCCTTATGTCACCTTCAGCTAAAGACCTGGTTGTAAAGGTCAGCCCGACTTTTGGTTCTAACAATCACATTTTTCAAGCTAATTTACATCTAAATTTGCTTTTCCTTTACATCTTTTCCCAAAATGATGTCACCATCCCATGTTTGGCAAATTTATTTTTGTAATGTCACAGCTGCTATTTCAGGGATTATTTTATGGATTTTATGTGGAGGAGCTGCACTGGTAGAACCCTCTGATTAAATTATGTAGAAGACAACAAACAGGAAAGAGGCTGCTGCCTTCTAATCTGCATCCACACTTTTACATGAGGAACACAACAGACAATAATAATTGATCTCACATTGAAGAAATGTATCTCTGCATTTAACCCATCCCCTTGTGGAGCAGTGGGCTGCCAATGTGCGGCACCCGGGGAGCAGTGTGGGGTCTAAGGGTCAGGGACCCAGAGTGGCAGTCTGTAGGAGTGGGTCTCGAACTCAGAAACTCAGGATTCTAAGCTCTATGCACCACCACCACCCTGAATGCACCATACTCATGGTGAAACATGGTAGTGGCTGCATGTAAGCCTATTAGAAGCAAAGTTCTTCTAACTGGAGCTGCGCCCTAAATGTTCACCCAGAATAATAATGTGGGATCAAATGGCCCAGTTAAAGTCCAAACCAAATACAACTGCAAAGTAAACTGGTGTCCACAGATACCCTCACCCCTAGCTGAGCTTTACATGCTTTAGCTAATTAAAAATAAACTTTTCAGTCCCCAGATGTGTAGAGCCAATAGAGACTAAAAGGTTCCAACTGTCTTTGTAGAAAAAGGTGGTTCTATGATGTACATATGAGAAAATAAACTGGCAATCATAAAACCTTCCTTTATGAAGGTATACTTTGATTTTTGTGGGTCTGTCACATAAAACCCCAGTAATACAATGTGAAGCTTCTAGTTTTAGACGGTTTAGAGACTTTTGTAAAGCTTTATTTTTTTTTCTTCTGTGCTACTTCACAGATGGAAGGACGAGGTGTTGCTGAATATTATTTTTGACCCACTGATCCAAAGTTGAACCCAAACAGTATTTATCCCAGCCCTTATAGAGTTCTGTTGGGCTCCATCTTCTTCATAAATCCTCATCTTCCTCAGAGAGTTTGAAGCCCTGTTTAACTTTGGATCTGATTTAGAATTGCAAACAGCAGCCAATCTGCCACCTTTTTGCTCTCATCCTCTAACAACCAGTGCTGTTCTCTGTGCGCTCTTGACTCATTAGTTTGTCTGCTGCATTACTAAGTGATCCTGCCAGCAGTCGAGGCACATTTTCCCAGATTTCCTTTACTCCTTTTTCTCTCCCTTACGCCAAGCCCTCGTTAATCACAGGCCATCCAATTTCCATAATTTCTGACCTCCAAATATTGTGTTTTCAGCCACCAACCTCCTTTTTGAGGATGAATATCCATGCTTTAATCTGTAAATGTGTGTGGGAGAAGTGCAGCCGTGTGTTGTACAGTACCAAACCACAGCAGCAGGGGGGTGCTCAGGAAGTTTGACTTTCTTTTGTATTCAACAAATGAGAAGAAATTCCTTCCTGACCTTTCTTCTCCAGTGACTAAAGCTTGAATGGATACCTGCAGCTTCGCAGTTTCGCCTGTAGAACAAAAGTGAAGGGAAACCAGTAACTATAAACCATTAAAAAGCTGCATCTCTTCTAATGTGTTACTTTAAACCGGATGGTAAAATTGATCTGGTCCTTACCCAGATATAAGATTAATTAATTTTAACCTGAAGTGGACAAAAAGATACCGAAATATTCCATTGTTAAATATAAAGTACATTTTTAGATGGCTCCTTTTTAAAATGTTACTTCATTTAAAATTCCAAGAAGCTCTCTTACTTGAGTGCAGTTTTTTTGTATTCTACCCACCTCGGCTTAAATGTCTTTCACTTTCTTTCTCCACAAGAGTAGAAAAAAATTTTTTTTCCCAGTATTTACCATTTCAGTAACAGGATAAATCAAAGTTATGTCCATGAGAAGAAAAAGAAAAGTACACTGCAGTGGCATAAATGATTAAAAAACAATAAAAATGAACAAATAGAATGAGATGATTATATAAAAAAAGATGCAATAATTGAATAAAAATCAAAGGAACATTTGATTGGAAACAAAACTAATAGATTAGCTAGATGCTTAGATTAGGTTAGGATTAGATAGCATAGTCAAAACACATGCATGTTATATCTCTTTTTAAAGCAATTTATAATAGTTAGGAAACAGCAATGTTGTGATCCAGAACAGCAATACCTACAGGTGCTGCTTTTTAGTGAGTCAATCCCACTGATTGTTATCAGATATTAGTCATACTGATGTAAATATAGGGTTAGGTTTAAATAACAGAGCCTAGTTTCACTAAATTATTTTGTAATTCGTCCTTATTGCTAAAACCATGAAATTCTACTGTAATTTCCTTTTTTTTTTTTTTTTTTTTACCACAACTGCAGGTTCACAAATGTGTCTTCATCAGCCTAATTTATCAAAATGATGTTAAAGGTGAATCTCACTCACAGCTGGCTCCCTGTTTGCCTTTCTCCCCCTGAAGTGCCGGCTAATTGCTGGTAATGCAGGGCCGGAGTGGAACAGTTTAGTGCTTTCGCATATTGGCTGATGATTCACCGAGCACACACTCTCTGGCTCTGAGCGTTACAGATTGTTGAGACATGGGCCCGTAAACAGCCCGGCATGCGGCATCATCTATCATGGCACGGTCGGTTAACTCGCCATCATGTTATTTTCTGCTTGCCGAGCCCTAACACGCCAAAGGTTGCCCGCTGGCTGCGCGGCGCGCCACCAGCTCCGGGAGCGCCGGTAATGAATGTTTAGCCGAGCGAGCGCTCCCTCCCTGCCGGAGGGGCCCTCGGGTAATTTGTTTATCTGTCTAAAGATTACGCAGCCCGAAAATCTACAATTTTATGCTGCCTTTGTAAATTACCAAGTGTGTGTTTGATGAATGAATCTCGGGGTGCGGGAGGCAGCGGGACGGGGAGGCCCGTCACACGAATAGAGAGGTGGCTGCTCGCTTGGAGAGGTAGGGAGGTGGAGGCGGGCGGTGTGCTGACCCCGCTCCACTGCAGGATTGCTATGAAGTTAATTCTGAATTTGCTTTATCGCTCATTCTCAAACTCTGTGCCTCCTTCCTCAGAAACATGACTCCAGATCTGTGTGTGTGGCTGTTCAAAAACTCTTTAGTTCAACCAGACAAGTCATGATTTATTCTCCAGTCTGAAGGTACATGTGTGGATACGTAGCCTCTAGGTGTGCAGAGACGCATCCAGAAGCCCCGCTCAGACAAAAGTGTATCCAATCGAGAAGCAAATACCCAATCTGGGAATTATTCTGCTCTATTCCTTCCCACATCTCTGTACACAGATCTAAAGTGCAGCCTCCTGCAGACTGGTGGAAGGGTTCAAAATCAACTGAATGGAAAAAAAAAAAAAAAACATTTGATGTTCCCACAGTGCAAACATTTTTGTGACTTCTCTTAGAGTAACAAATAACTTAATGTTGTATTTTATATGAAATGTAGCTCCAACTGCACTTTACACGTTTTATATAAAGTAGTGGGTTTCAGTATTCTCTATTCCTAAGCCAAACTTTAACTTTTAACTTTTTTTAAACACTTAAAATCATAGTGAAGTCTATGAAATCTTATATGTTTTTTAAAGTGAGTGTTTTAATACGCTTCATGGTGCATTCAGGGACAGACTGCTGCACCCTAAATGCACCATGGAGCGTTATTACAGATCCTTCCTCCCAGCTGCTGTAAGACTCTAAAACCACCACTGTTCCCAAAAACCTCAATACGTTGTTACATTCATGCTGATTTTCCACAGTTTCTACCTTAGTCAGTTAAATAACTGCTGCTGTCATTTTGCACTTATATTGCAAATTCTCTAAAATTGCAGCTATTTTCAAATATCTGTTACCGTTAAAAATGTCCATACCTGTATAGTGGGTTTTTAATCTCTAGGTGCATAGTATTTATATTGTTAAAACACTTTATAGTATAGTATTTTATTGTTTATCTTTTTACTCTCCACTATTATGTTATTCTTATACATTTTTCTACAGTCCATATTTTTGTGACCATTTTTTCTATAACCTTTTTGCTGCTGTAAACACGCGAATTTCCCCAGTGTGGGAAAATAGTGGGATTTTCTATTCTATTCCATTATGATTTTTTTTGGCATCAAGTTAATAAAAACAAGAAGAGTAGTTTCTCTGAAATTTTGAGTTTTACATAAAGAAGAAGCATGAAGCTATTGTAGATTATCTTTACATAATGTGGATTACGTGCACCTAAGAGATGGTCTGTGGTTTAATGGAACGGCTTAATGCCAGGTGTGGAACAAATGTCCTGGATACACCTGGAAACTGAAATAGTGAAACCATCTGCAAATTCAAACCTTAGGAATCCCATTATCTCTGGAATAAGCTTTGCTTCACAAAACTTTCAATGCTCCTATTCTCCTTGATGCTTGTGCACAGTTTCCTTCCTTTTAACTTTCCCTAATATACTTGGACAGAGCTCTCTTTGAAGAGCTGATATGTTGGGGCTTAGAAAAACATTTCTTTATCTTTATAGGTAGTATGCAATGGTCTGGAAAACACTTGAATTCCATAATAAAGCTCTAAACCATAAAAGTATGAATAATCTAGTATGTTTCACCTTTATAGAGATGAAAACTTGATTATGTCTTTCTTAAATCCAAGCTGTGTGATGACAACTTAGATGTGTTGTTTGGTTTAAAAGCAAAGACCATTCTTTACCAGCATTGACAATAATTTATTAGCATTTATTCTCTCTGCTCATTTAATTAAGTATACCAAAGAAAACGACAAAAGCTTGTCCACAGTGTCGCTGTCTGAAACCAGTGTTTGTTTGGTCTGCAGAATAGCCATTCTTCTTTCTAACATGTTTTTATTTTTTTGTCTCTACAGCCAGAAAATGAGGAGAAGTCTATATTGTATGATAACATTGGGCCAAATGTCTGCATGGGGGACCACAAGGTAATACCAGTTCTACCTCTGCCCACGTCTTTCTCCATGTTCTGTTATGATTGATGCTTCCTTTTAATAGGAAGAGGTATAAATCCCTATTTATGTTTATTCAACAGCCCAATGTTTATTTTCCCTTGTTTTCTGTAAATTGTGAAGATTATTTCATTGTTTTTCACGGTTATGATTATAAATATTATATACAGGGTTAGTAATGCATAGAAATGAAAAAAAATATATACTAAGTATTCTTAGCTTTACTCATTTATGTAAATCCACTCCTGTTAGATTGCCTGGTCAAAAAAAGTTGCCACCAAAAAAAAAAAACCCCCAAAAAAACAAGGTTATACTCTTCAACAGTTAGCAGTTTGGACCACCTTTAGTTTGATTCAGCTGCAGCTTTGTTTCGATTAGCTTCTGCAATGTCACAAGCTTTTTTTCCACCTAGTGTTACATTAATTTTTCACCATGATCTTGCATTAATGATGGTAGAGTCTGACCACCGTGCAAACCTCCTCCTGCACACCCCGAAGATTGTCAATGGGGTTTAAGTGTGAACTCTGTGGTGCTCAATCCAAATGACACCTCATGTTCCTAAAACACTCTTTTTGAGTTCGATGAATCCTGGCATCGTCATCATGGAATATGGCTGCTCCATCAGAGAGGAAAATATCTATAGATGGATAAGCTGGTCATCCAGGTAGTCAGCTGACCTCATTCTCTGAGCACATGCTGTTACTGAACCTACATCTGACCAACTGCAGCCTCTCCAGACCATTGCACTGCCCCTAAAGGCTGGTACAGTAGGCACTAGGTATGATGCATGCATCACTTCACCTGCCTGTATTCTTACCCTGATGTGTCCATCACTCTGGAGCAGGGGAAATCTTGGCTCCTCAGACCACATGACCTTCTTCCATTGCTCCAGAGTCCAGTCTTTATGATCCGTAGCAAATTAATGCACTTATTTCAGGTTAGCCTTACTAATTTTTGGTTTTCTAAAAGCCGCACAGTGTTTCACTCCCAATCCCTTCACATTGTGCATATGGAAATACTCTTACTTTAGGATTAGGGTTACCCTAACCCACTGTTGTTGTTGTTTTTTTCTTTGATTTGATTTCACCAAATATGTAAGTGAATACAATCACATACTTTGAGGAATTTCCTCGGCCACCTTTTTCCCTTAAAGACAATGGGCCCCCTATATAATTCCAGTTTTTAATAATGCTTTGGATATCATTTCACCTAGTTTTGGTAGATTCTGTAATCTCCTTACATGTTTTCTCATCCTGATGCATGCATGACATCTTTTCCACGACCACAGGATCAGTCGTTTCACACAGTTGATTAAGAAACGAGAAACAATTCATTGCTGAAGTTGGTGCTAAATAACTTTTCCGAGCAATAGAATAAATGTTAATCCAGTAATTATCAGATGGGAGACTGACTATTCTCTTTATTAAATTCACTTTGCTTTTTGTTTTGTTTTTTTGCTTTTTGGCCAAGCGGTACAGTTTGAACACAGCTTTCTGCATGTATAAGGTTTTAAAGTGCAGTCCGCTTTGATTTGATGAATCAAACTTGGAAAGAAAATTGTTGGTTAAAAATAAAACACTCAGTATCACCAAAATAAAGCTACTGTACAAAATATGGTAGTAGCTTGATTACTTTTCCCTAGATGGAACCGCCACTTTTATTAGGTTGGGTTAGAGGGTTTGCTCTAGAAAGCTGAGGATAATTTTTATTTTTCAGCGTCATATTGAGGCCAAACGTACATCTGGATGAATGAAAAATAACATGGGGAAGAAAATAAAGAGACTCTTTGTGTTATGGAGAAGGCAGATATTATCAGCAGGTTATTTTCTGTTGAATTCTTACCAAAAATACTGTATGAACGCTTAAAAGCACAGTTTTAAATAAAAGAAGTATTTTTTAGTTTCAGTTTTTTTTTAACACATTTATTTTACACTAAAAATTTTATAAGATTTCTTATGTTAAAATCTGTTTTGCAAAATGAGCCTGGAGGCCAACAAAAACCACAGAAAACACACATCAGTGCTAAGATCTCGGCTGCCTCTGGTTAAAAAATGTCCAGTGTAGTTGACACCCAGGCCCGAAAAAGCGCAGTGTTGCTGTGTGAGTTTAACCTGCATGTTAAAGGTGCTCAGAGGTGAGAGGAGAGCAGCGTGTCCTCTTCCCACAGAGCATCAACTGAGTCCATTTTCCTTTTCCTGACTGTGGTATGTTTCTGTACCCCCGCCAGCCCGTCTTCCTGTCCTTCCGATTACCATCGCGGGCAGGTAAACCTAATGAAAATAAGCGCAAGTGTTGTGTGGTGCAGTAATTTCGTGGTAAATATCATTCTTTTTCTTTATTAACATTCTTTCCATTGTTGCAACTGTTTGCCTTGATTTGCTTGTTCTTTTTTTCCATTACCTCACACCAAAGCGATTGTAACTGGAGGTTTTCCTGTATGAAGAGTTTTATCCAGAGATAAAACTTCATCAGAGGAGAAATGTTAAATGATCGCTAAGACCTTAAAATGCCACGTTCATTTTAAGATGCTAACATATAACCTAGAGCTACATTTGTTTATTGTAATGTGTGAGAGAGAATGTCCTGTAGATGATAAAGTGCAAAAGTACAGCTTGGACCCTGTTTTCCAGTTTGTCATCTTACAACCACAAAATTACGTTTTTGAAGTTTGTTGAGATGATGAAGCTGACATAAAAGGTTTTATGTTGGATGCTGCAATATATTTGGAACAGAATAACTGATCCTAGTCAAAGTTAAGGCACTCCAGCAGGCCAAAATGTCAAAGATGGCTTAGATGCAGCAAGTTTGTCCATTATAGAATAATCCCAACAAAGCAAACTGAAGTTTGTGATTGTAACATGACAACCTGTGAAAGTTCAAGAGATCTGAATACTTTTGTAAAGCAGCCATCTTTTATTTCCAATACTCTGTGAATTGAATGTGTAAAAGTTTTTCTTTTTCTTTCCCGTCCCACAGGGAATTCTTGCCAAAGGGGGTTAGAACATATTCCATGAAGAGCCCCTGTGAAAACACCGGGGAGAAAAAATACACATGCACAAACACACACACGCACACCCAGTTTGCACAAGCACACACTGAAGATCCCAGACAAGCTTCTTTTATTTTCAGCAGCGCTGAGTTTTTTTTCCGGACGGCTCATCCGCTCCGTTCTCTCTCCATAAAACACTTTTCGAGATGCGGACGAGCACCCGAAGAGGGCCCCGGCTCTGTGCAAGAGACGCACATTGCTGACCTCAACGTTGCCATGCAACCCAAATACCCCAGAAGAAGAAGAAGAAAAAAAGACAATCAAGGCAATGAATAAACCACCCCTTTTTTTTTTTTTTTTTTTCATGCCACAGCCTCATTTCCAGAACTCTAATCTAGATCAGACATACTACATGCTTTTAGACACCGTTTACTGGCCATGCTTAGGTATGCCTATATGTATAAAAGCTACTTTCCAGACAATATGTAATGTGTTTTAAAAAAGGAAAAAGAGAAAAGAAAAAAGTGCAATGCGACAAATGTTGTATATCTATATTGTTTAGGTTTATTTGTACATTTGACAGCATAATATAGAGCCTTGAATGGTTTTAGTGCAGTTCTCTTCTCTGACCAAACTTTATGGTCCCTGTTGGAATAAGTAGGACTTCTGATCTTAGTTTATTATGAAACTATATTAAACTATATACTCTTCCTTCTGTTGCCTGACACATCAGTGGACTTTTTCATTTTATATGCTGTACTTTTTAAAGAGATAATTTATGATTCGTACCAAAATGTTTGTGCTGCAGCGGCAGCAGAGAGCTGAGGGAGTGGGAACGCCACGGAAACCTTCGGATAAGTTCACAAGGAAAACCTCTTCAGTGATTTATTGCCTATCCAAGAATGTTTTAAGCAGTGCCATAGACCATGGAATATATATATATATATATATATATATATATATATATATATATATATATATATATATATATATATATATATATATATATATATGAATGATAATGTTTGATATAAATAGTACCCTCACATTATGTCATTATTATTCCTACTCTAACTTATTTCTATAATATTATGGTTCTGAATGTGATATTTTAAGTAGCCTTGGGTGTCCCTTTAAATGTAAACTGTTTTCTTTGTGTCTTGTTTTTTTTTTTTTTTTGTTACTGCATTATGGTGCCAAGTATCCTACACAGACATGGAGTGTGTAAGAGTTAAGAAATTCCATCTGTTAAGGTGTCGATTTCCACATGTAAGACTCTAAACCTTGAAAAAAACAAAGAAGAAAGCAGGGAGAGCTTGTTCTCGTTGTGTCTGCAGCCCTCAGGCTTTGAGCATTAAAGGGGGCGACCGGAGACGGCAGCGTTTGTTTCTTTTATTTTATTGATTTCATTCACCACACTACAGGTTTCGGACAGTTTGAAGTCGTCATACTGATTCTTTGTGATTGCTTTGTTATTGTCATCTAAATGAATCACAGCAAGTGGTAAAAAAAATTGTTTTTCTGTGCCTGCAGGAGAGTTTGTACTTTTTTTTTCGGAGGGGGGGTATCTAGACAACAAAAAAAGCTTGTTTTTGTCCCTGCTGGTCATTCTGAGTATGCTGTAGGAGTATAAGCCACAGTCGGGGTTTTTTTTTTTCTTCACTCCATCTTATAAAAGCAGACAGAGATTTTATTCTAGTCCCTTCTGGAAGGCCTGGCCTCTATTGTAGGTGATGCAGTTCTTAAGCAATAAAACCATTAGAGCTGAAAACATGCTGTGTTGTCTTCTGTCCTACTTTAGAATTGCCGTATATGACAAACAGGGTAGGTTTTGTTTAATAAGGGAACATTTGAAGATTAGAACAATTATATGCATCATTACTTCAGTGTTGTCTATTTAGTTTTACTTTTTAGATATTACATATACTATATGCAAATTAAAAACAGTTAAATATATACATACAGACCTCTTTAGTTTCTTTGAAAAATTTTTTTGCATCTATAAAAAGTCTCTAATACATAAGAATGAATTTCATTCTAAATACTTTAATCTGTGAAATAAATCAAAGAATATTCATTTTGTTGGTAGGTTAATGACCAAATCTAAAGAATTCATCCTAATGCAGGAATGTTCCTGATTAACCAAACAAGGCCTCAGAGTGATGAACCTGTCAGCTGCAGTAGCATATTTGGTCCCTAGGGGGAGCTCCTCTCTTCTGCAGTACTACTTATTTACTACTTTCTTTATACAATTTTATGACACAGTTCATAAATGTAATACTAATATAAAAGTTTTTTGGTGTATGCAATATTAAAAATAGTCATAGGCACATTTTGTGTAAAATAAATTGTTTCATTTTTATTTTAAATGAAGCCCACCCACACGTTAAAATAAGACAAGAAAAGCTTGTTAAATAATTTATTCATAATACAAATTCTTTTTTTTTTTTCTTCCTATATTCTTCCCGGAAGCAATAATACTTTTTTCTTCTTTTTTTTTTTAAGCTCAACATAAAGATGCTGCAGTTTTTTGTCCCACTGCATGATGAGGTAAAACCAAAAAACTCCTCTGAATGAAAACAAAGATGTTAAAGAAAAATGCATTTTCTTCTTCATTTTACAATTATTTACAGCATCCATTTTTGCCTACACCTCTGCGTGAAAATTTGAATTGAAAGTTGAAAAAGAAAAAAATGGCTCTGCAGATATTAGAAACTTTAACAGCTGATCATTACAGCTGAGGAAGGGAGACAATAAGCGCAGTTTGAACCAACATAACTTATCCAGTAAAAAATATATACAATCTCATTTCACTCATTGCAAAACAGACCCCTCCCTCCCCGTCAACACTCCCAAAAACTAAAGACACAATTTTCTTTTTTTTTTAGCACAGCAGATATACCCTGGTTAAAGTGAACTTTTAGAAGCCTCACAGGCCCCGTTTACGCCTGCCGTTGGGATCATGCGTCTGGGATCCGGATCAGCATGGGGGTCGATAACGGAAACAAACAAAAATTAAAAAAATAAGAGCTCACAACAGATTATTACTGTTGTTGACAGCAAAAAAAATATTAGAGCAGACCTTAAACAATACAAAGGATCAAGAAAGGAATGTAAGGATTTTATCAGGAGAAAAAGAAAATCCTGCACTAAATAGGAAGTTTAAATTACTGTTGCAATGATCAGGCTATTTATGAAGTTTAACTTTTTATTTTTAAACAGACTTAAAAAATATATCCCTACTTATGTGCCTTAATATCAGTCCCTGACACTTTCCAGGGTTAATGCTAATATTAAAGGAAGAAAAAGTGCATCAAAGCTGGTTTGATGTGTATGGACCAAAAAAAAAAGTAGGAATTCCTACTTTTGATGCATTTAATGAACGTTTTAGTGTTTGCTGATTATATCTCTGGTTGGTTGATGGGTTTAGTTTTAGACTGGAACAAAACAAGCTTCAATGCATAAATAGGAGGATCTGTCTCCTAAATTGAAAACAGCTATTTGAAAAATGCTGCAGCACTTTATGTTTTACATTTCTAAGAAATAAAACATTATTGGTATTGGCCAAGAAAAGCCTGATCGGTGCATTGTTAAAAAAAAAAAAAAGATAAAATAAATAAAATGTGGGAATGGTACTGATCCGGATGTAATGTTTAAATTTAGCGTCGCTATTAAAAGTCCCAGTTTATGTTGGAAAAGGCAGGCTTCCTCCTCGCGTTTATTGTCCTCTTCACTGACAGAAACTCAGTGAATCTGTCTCAGTTTTTTTTTTCTTGAGGTTCAGCTCAAACAAGGCGTTCTGGAGCTCTGTGTGTCCAGTCTATATGAAGCCCCCCTCTCTGGCTTTTTTTCTTTTCTGCCCGAGCAAAAAAACAAAAAACAAATGCGCTTCCCTTCAAACGCATGTTGTTATGTCAGGTGGGAACTAATCAGGACGGGTCTCTGCCGGACCCCTTTGGTCTTTCGATCACAAGGTGTCCGAGCTGTTGCTGCAGGGGCTGATCAGGGCCAGGTTGGTGGTGGTCTTGTGCTTCTTCAACAGTCTCGTAATTTTCTCGTCGTCAGAGTTGGGGTCCAGCGGCTTGTTGTATTCGTCGTCATCCTCGTTGTCTGAGCTCTCCTTCATCTTCTCCGTTTCAGAGTCGTGCTTCTTCTTGGCTGAGGCCATCTCTGCTGCGTGCCTCTTCCTCCACTTTGTCCTCCGGTTCTGGAACCAAACCTATTGGTACAGAGAGCAAACTGTGAATAATATATACGTAAAAATATTATTAAATTGTGCAAATGAACACACTCTTTGACAGGCTTTACCTTGACTTGACTCTCTGTCATTCCTAAGGAGTAGGCCAGCCGGGCTCTCTCAGGTCCAGCCAGATATTTGGTTTGCTCAAAGGTTTTTTCCAAAGCAAAAATCTGCTGTCCTGAAAACGTCGGCCTAGAGTGCTTCTTCTTTCCGTCTTTGTCCATCATGATGTTAGCCTGAGCTGGAGAGGAGCAACACAGAGAAAACTAAATTATTAAAAGTTTCATTTTTAAAGAAGCTATTTTCCAAACAAACATGTTGAGTTATAGGATTCCTTTTTAAATAACAGAACAACATTTTCCAATGTTTATTATTATTATTATTATTTTTACTTCTTTTTTTAAATTATGATTCAAATTGTTTCACTTTCAGATCTTATAAGAAATAGGATCGACAAAAAGTAACTGAAAAACAAAGGAGCGGTCATCCAATCGAAGGACACCCTTAGAAAATAAATGTATGGATAAATTGTTAAAATATACTATTTTACTTTGAAGGACTTTAGCTTAAAATGTGCCATTTAAAATATTCTCCCCTCAATTCCAATAAAAAGGTCAGCCTATTTCTGTTGTAAGTAATTCTGACATAAGGTCCACTGTCCATGCTCTTTTTTTTAAATAATAAATATATTAAGAAGCAATTTAAAATATTATATATGCATTGTATTTTATGCTATATTGCTTTTATGAATTATGAAAGTGAGCGTTGTGCCCCCCCCCCCCAAAAAAATCACAAGTTTTATGGTATTTCTGCCTGAAATGCCATTAAATATATAAAAAACATATTTTGCAATATTATAATATATTCCATAAAATAAAATAGAAAATAGAAGGAAACGTCTTGCTGCACACATCCAAATTTAGATAATTTAGTAAATAATATAAAGTTAAATTATGTTAAATTAAATATGACATACTTTATATATGTATACACCTAAATTTGTTAGAAGAAAATATATTTTTTTTAAAAAACAAACAAAAAAAAAACATAAAGTAAGATTTATTTTGAAAAAAATAAATAAATAAAAAAAAATAGTAAGTGAAAAATCCTTACTTGGACAAGGAACCCGTGGGTCCCTCCACGGGGCCCCCTGCATGACTCCGGGCCAGAAAATGGGCGCCCTGCCGGGCAGCTCGGCCAGCGGCTTCGGGTACCGAGACACCGCGGGGCTGAAGTACATCCCGGCCGCTGTAGTCGCCAGGCCGTTAATCCGCGGAAAGCCGGACAGCAGCTGCCCCGCGGTCGTGATGGGTCTCCCCAGGATGTCGCTTATTCCGTGAGGGGTCCCGCCGGAGATCTGCGAGCTGAGGTTGGACAGGGAGGGCGCCTTGAAACCCGCCGGGCTCTGCTGCAGCGCGTACGGGAACAGCGACGTCTTCATCTCGGTCATGTTGTGCAGCGCCGCCAGCGGGGTGCTGCCCAGAACGAACGCACTCTGCCGGTTAGCGTCCATCTGTCCGACCGCTAACATTTGTAAACATGAACCACCGAACTCACTTCAGTGGAAATAAAGCAGTTAAATTACTAAGAGCTCTACGCTTATTCTCGGCTTTTCCCAAAGTATCCTGTTTGATGAGAAAGATGGGAGGAAAAAAGTTCTTCTCTCCTGGGAACTTCAGACCCTGATGAAACCCCCCTGAAAGTGTCTCTCCGTGTTTGTTCAGGTCGCAGTCCGCTGCAGGAATCCTCGCCAAAGTCAGTCAGTGCGATGATGTTTTTAGCGGCTTTGATGGGAACCATTAAACAGCCTCCTTTTCATTCCATAAATTGACTCGCTCTCTGCTGGGAGGGAAGCAGATACTCACTGATAACACCACAGCCACCTGCAGGCGCTTCCTTCTCATTGGCTACCACAGAGCAATACCCCGCTCTGATTGGCTGAAGTAGTTCCGCCGCTGATTCACTGATAGGTTTCTTCCAATGATGTATTCATGTGCCGTCGGAATTCTAAAACATATTGTTGACTAATTTTTTTCTCGGGATTAATGATCAGTTGAGATTAATTAGTTAAGACTGTCAATAAGTTTTCCTGCTCTTATCCTCTTGTAAGTTATTATTGCCCGTTACAATCATTTTATTAAAAGATTTACAGCAATCTTTACAGTTTAGCTATCTGTTTTTAAACCAGAAATATATAATTTATATTAATATACAGAGATGTATAATGAAAGCCCCCTGCATGGGTAAATAAATTGGTTATTTATATTTCTAAATTGAAAATACAATACTGTTGTTTTTGTATTGTTTAATGACCTGAAAGTCTTTAACTATATAATTTTAATTCCTGCAGCGGTTTTTATATATCCATCCCCTTAGCATTAGATTTATTTCTAAATTTCCTGATGAAGTTTTTTTTTTTTTTTTTTTTTTTTTTTATGAAATAAAGTTTAAATAAATTAAATAGAGGGGAAAAAATAACAGCGCCACCCACAGTTATGGTATATGATGGCAGCAGGCAGAATTAAGAGCCTGAAAACTGGAAATTTAGTTGTTCACAGTTGTTATCATGGGAAGCATATAAAGCAATCAAATCAAATTTAAATTCTGATGCATTTTTACCAAAAAAGACAAAGAAACTCACCTGTGTTAAAATTCTAATATGTTTTATTTCACCTTTATGATGCTTCAATTCAATCTCACATCAATAAACATCTCAAAAGATATCTGATAATATTTGTTAATAAATTCCATCCCAGCTGCTGGTGTCTACAAAAACTTTTATCTTGAGTTTTCACAACTTTATATTAACTAATGATGTAAAACATTGTATAAAAGTATCTAGAAACACTTTAGCTTTGGTAAAACAAACATTACTGATAATAATCTTTTCTTTTGAGCTATATATATTTGAGCTTTTAAGATTGCTAAAAGGTTTTACATCTCCGATATTAAATATTAAGACTATTGCATAGATTAACATACATCTAATGGTTTAATAAAGATATTTCGGCAGTTTTAATCTTAGATACCTGAGCTGGAACATGTGCCAAAATAAATTCATCATAATATTAAGTTTAATTTATTAGGTCTGAGACATTCATGAAGGTTTTAAACTTAGGTGACTAACCATTTTTTTTAGGTATCTAATGTTATGTTGTTCTGCCAATTAAAAAAAAAAGATTTATTGTATTAAAGATGACCCCTACCTTCTATAAATTCAAAACATGATATTTCTTTTTCTGTACAAGAAGCAACTTGTAGTACTAACGTCATTTCCTGACACAGATTATTGTTTCAGGTATTCGGAAGGTTATTTGTTGACAAAATAAGATGAGACAATATTTTACGGCCATTAACCAAAGAGTGTCTCGGTCTTATATTTTCAGGCAGGACAGCAGTAACCCCTGATGCTGTGCTGTAGAATCTGACACCAAGATGTTAGCAGAACATCCTTTAAGTATTGAGATGGGCCCTTCATAATCAGACTGGTTTGTACATATCCTACAGATGCTTGATTGGATTGAGTTCTGGGAAACTTGGACAAGAACATAAGACCTTTCTAAATCATTATTCATGTTTGTCATAAATGAATACCTTTTATTTTTACTTAAATAGAAGACATAATCTGGAACAATGATTATGTAGTACATTCTGATGGTTGGAAGCACCCAAGTTTTTTTTTTTAGAACAACATTGGCCAAAGCAGCATCCAGCTTCAGCTCCCTACTTCCAAACCCCCTTCTTCCAACCCTAAATCGATATTAAAGCAGTTTTAGCAACACTCCTAACAGTTGCTCAGTCATCGCCGCAAGTCCTTAGTCAACATCACTCAAATCCTTATTCTTAAAACTCTAACAATGAGGAAAGATCCTCTTTCTCCACACACCGACAGGTGCCCTTATTTAAAGTGTATCAATATTCTTCTATTCAATTGTCACCGAGTGAAAGAAAATATGTTTTTTTTACATCTACAACATCAAATTCACAATACAACTGATTAACAAAATGCATGTTGTGAGTGATTTTAGGTGAGGTGCTTTGAAGAACTTCTGCATCTAAAGGGTCCGACCACTGCCCAGTAGGTGGGTTCACCTCTGGTCACACCATTAAGCCTCTGTGAGTATTAAAGTTTGCCCTGAGGAAGTCTTTCATTATGAATTTTAGTATCTTGGCTTCATAATCAGGAATAAAAGCTACTTTTGTGCTGATTACATTACAAGCTGATTTACATCAAGTTAATCGGCAGGTGTGACTAAACAGTGGGCCTCTATGCAACTATCGGCAAATTATATCATATATTCTGAGGTGTTCAAGATACATTTGAGATGTAAAGTAATCTTTAGAACATTTACAGTTTTTTATTTACTTGATTTCTTTGCACATTTGTCCATCATAGGATTGCTAATATCCCTCAAATAGAGATCTAAAGGCTTTAAGAGTGTTTTAAAGTTTCCTAAAAAGCTTTTCTGAAAGTAAAAAAAAAAGAAAATCTATTTGGAAGATGAAAAAAATGACACAGGAAGGAGCAGACTTTCAAAGGAACAGTAAATAGTTGGCTAATAAGGCATCACATTAGGAAACCATGTTGAAAGGCATGGTAGCCAATCTTGCTGGGAGGGAATATTTTATCATAATTTAACCGATATTTTTTAGCTAAAATGTAAAATAAGTCTAAAAATGTGACCATCATTTGTTATGTTGCGGGTGATCATTTATATCTAAAGTGAGTCTGCTGATTTTACAGCAAAGTCGGGCCCCAGCTATAAACTTAAAGAGAAGAGAAAAATGTCGGACGGGACCTTGAATGCAGCATCAGCTGCAGCGATACACTCCATCAGTTTTGCTCGTAATAAGGTGCTGCAGTATCTCACACTGTAGGAGTTTTTGTTTTCTGGAATTAAAAATATAATATTTGCGTATATTTTAAGCGTTTATAGCAAACGGGGATAGTATATTAAATGCAAAAACGAACTTTAAGAGAACAGTTAAGAAAATGCAATACAGATTTTGTACATTAATCGCAGTAAACTGAATAAACATTCAAATTTCTTTCAAAAAAAATAATTTATTTTTATCATGCAGATAGTGATAATAATAAACATAAAGGAGCTTGTTTAGTAACTTTTTTTCTCGATTTCTGCACCGAAAACCAATTTTAATCTAATTCCCGTTTTCTCCTAAAAGTGCGCAGAAATCTTTAAAGTTTTTAGTCCAAAGTTAAGGTCCTGCTGAACATCATGCTTTATTTCTGAGTGCACGAAACCAGGGGCTCCGTGCACTCATCACCTTGAGTGCTGTAATATTTTATGGAGATGTGAGAAGCTTGAGAGAGTGAAATATGGCACCGCTGGTGTTTAAAAGGCTCCAACCAAATGCACCTTGCGTCTGATTTGCTCACCGCGGGAAGATCCGGGGTTTTAAGAGGTTTTCAACGCGACGTGATTCACAATTTTGACTGTATTTCTTCAAGCTTTCTGCAGCAGACGCGCATTTTCCAATCCTCTAAATGGCCTTCTATTTCTAATTTATCCCCCCCGTATTTCCCCCTGATTGTGTGCGTTTACTATCACATTTGAAGGTCTTTCTGAAATGATCACATATCGGAAAAAAATAAATATCTCTAAATATGGGAAGCACAGCTGACAGAAGCAGGGCTCAACAGGAGGTTAAATGTGGGATCATCCAGAGGGAGATCAATGACAGAAAGATTGGTACTTTTTTTCTAAGCTCATCTGCAGCCAAAGATGAAAGCTGCCAGGATGGCCATCCCTGCAAACATAATCACAATTTAACTCAATGAATGATGAAGGTTTCTGAGTCAGAGACCTGAAGGTAATTCAAAGTGTAAACCATTCAACTCGGTTTAATCATTCTATTATAAACTAATAATTATAAGAGAAAAACTTAACTAATGTTCAGAAGAAACGTATCAATTAAAATAACCTATTTCTGTCCTTTCTATGTATATTATAACTACACATTAACTATTATCTTCTTGTTATAACTAAATACATTTTTTTATTATTATTATCATTATTAAAGGACAATAACTTAATAAACCATGTGAAGGTGAACTGAATATTACCATGAACGAATGGTAAAAGAAAAAGAAAAAAAGGCTTTTATTTTATTTTCATTTTTTTATTTAGGGTGTCTTTTTTTTCTGGTGCCTCAACCACCAGTAGCTCCTGTTCACCTCTGGCTGTCAGTCTGTCCTTACTACGGTTTAACATTATAAATTTAAGTCAGGGTTTTTAAGACAGAACACCCACTATAATATCAGGCTTCATTAAACATGGAAAATAAGAAACATGCAGCAGAGTCCTGTATAACTTGATCAACAGCGCCCTCTGGTGGTATAAATTTGAAACAGCTTAAAGTGGATCTGAGAACCTAACTTAACATTTTGTCTGGTTTCACCCAAAAGCTTCAGTCTAGTTTGTTTCTATTCTATGTCAATGAGCTATTTAAGTTGGTATACGAATGTGACGTTAAAATGAAAAAAAAAAAAAAATGTTTTTTAAAGCATGCCGCACAATTGAACAGGGGCTCCTTTCTTTTTATACCTATTAATGAAGCACATTTTGAAAAAAATACATAAAGACCATCCACTTGTTTGTGATTTAAGCTTTGTGGAAACACATCTATGAAGCTCTCAGTTGTTTCTTTGACAGATTAATGAACAAATACAGATACAGAGAGAGGAAAACAGCTGACAGGTTAAGGAGATAATTGCTGAAAAGTTTAACCTCTTAATATCTACCCCATTTTGGGAAATTCTCACCTATTTTGCATACCCAAAAGGAAAAGTAAACAACTGAGAAGCTATAAGCCCA